TAAAACAAATCCACATTGTAAAGGACAGTACAGACAACATTGTGCAAATATTGTAATAGGATTTGTCTTTGTCTGCATGTGGACTTTTATAAAGGGCTCCTGTATAAGGTATTCAGTCATCATGAAGTGTTTGGCCCAAGACTGAAGTTTGTTATTACAGGTGTGTTTTGTGAGTCGATATTTCATTTTCTGGTGGTGAAAGGGTGTTTTCAATGTGCCTGGGCTTTGGAGTCAGGCTGACTTGGTGCTGTGAATCCACCACTTACTGCTTATGTGAATTTTAGTGATTATTCTCTGGCCTCAGTCTCCTAATACATAAAATGGGATAACAGTGTGTATCCAGCAGGTGGTGTATGGGAATTGAATGAGATAGTGTGAATAGTGTGCTTGGCACATTGTCTTGGCACATGAGGGGTGCTGGGTATATGTATCTACACCCAATTCAAATGTCAAGGGAGAATTGTATTCAATATAGAGAGTTGTTTTCAGCCAAGAATGTGGACAGAACAGAAATTCTCCAGAGGATGAAGCTATACTTCTTATTTCTCAAATGGAAAGTTGTCTTACTGTCCACTCACATGCAAAACATTGAATTTGAAGATAGTTGTCTCTCTTAAGCTGACTCTTCCCCACTTGGTAAAAAACCCATGAGATTAAAATGTGTTTGTTTGTTTTTTGTATTTCTTGTTATTTTACGTGCTTTAAATCTGAATCCTTGATCTTAAGTGATAGCTTCTCTAACACCAATGTTTGTTGGCTCTAAAATGTATAGCCAATAAGTTTTGCTCATATTCTTCAGAAAAAGTTTTAGTTCATAAAGAAAATGATCAAAATGTGAAATCAATTATAGTTAGAAATGTCATAAATTTGATATTCTTATTTAGATATGCAATAGGTCTATTTAATTTATAAAAGAAAAATAATAAGGAAAAACAAGTCAATATCAACAAAGTATACAGTTGGAGGAATATACAGTACCTTACCATTATTATCAATAAAAATCTATTTGTACTAAAATAACTGTATAAAATAAAAATGAGTACATTATAGCCTCCTTATATTTTCAGCATGATTTTAAACATTCATGTTTGCTTGCTGATTTAATAGAAAATCAAGGACTTTGCTAAAGAGGCAGAAATTCTCAAGAATTTTTTCCTTTTCTTCTCAAATGAGAAGTATAGTTATTCTTAAGAAATTGTCCATTGAATGATGAAATGAACTCCGAACTCCAATTTGAACTGAGTATTAGTAAAGTATTTGTCTTTCAATTGGAAATCAAATTGGAAAAGTTTCTTACATTTATAATTTCAATTGTTAGATTAGCAATAAATGCATAGTCAGTAACATTCCAGCATTCAAGTGATTTGCCTTTATACACATAAGACGTTTCGGCATCTATTTTGAAGTTGTAATAAACAGGGAACTATACTTTTAATATAATCTCTAATTATATATACACTTTACTCAGCAGGTGAAAAAAAGAGAAAATAGTGGAGCTCTGAAGATGCTCAGCAGCCTTATAAGGCAGATTCAAATTATGGGGGAGACACTGAGGGTTAAAATATGGTGTATTTTTAGTCATGCTTCAACTTCAAATGGACTTCCAAGATACAGTGTGCTCTTTTGGTGAACATTTTCTGAAGTGAGACCAAGTGCATCTGATAAGTGCGTTACTTGATAATGTTCACGTGAGAGCATTTATGAAGATGCATTTATAATAGAAGTTTTAGAAATATTTCTATTTTGCCTCTAAATTCAAGGCACAATAAATAATTTGGAGGTGCAGCTTTAATATGGCCCTAGTCAAAAATCTGGAGTGGTGCATATGTGACACTGAGAGTTTGTATAAAATAGGAACCAATGAGGTGAACCCCGTCACTGCAGAACTGGGCGTGGGACCCACATTTGAAACTAAAAATTCAACTTCATAGGCTGTCAAGTACAGGTGGACATAGATTCCCATTAATGCAAGTGACTGTATATTGTTTTTAAAAACTGATAAATTTCCTCCTGACATTTATTAGTAAGGAAAATATGGAAATATGTTGCATCCCAGAATCAGTTAAATAAAGAATGAGGTTCCACAGAGTTGCAGATCATAGAAGTTTTTATTGGGCCAAAGAGAGCGTAAGTTACAAAACTCATGGGATGGGAATGGGAAGTAGTTTAGAAATAGCTAAAGATCCTCACCTGTGGAAAGGTCATCATTGTTACCTGGTCTCCTCCTTTATACCCATCCCCACCACCCACCACTCAGCCTAAAACAGCCTCCACTATGATAGAACAAAAGATATTTTTTAAACATTTTTTATTGATTTATAGTCATTTTACAATGTTGTGTCAAATTCCAGTGTAGAGCACAATTTTTCAGTTATACATGAACATATATATATTCCTTGTCACATAACAAAACAGAAACAGACTCATAGACATAGAATACAAACTTGTGGTTGCCAAAGGGGCAGAAGGTGGGAATAGATAAACAAGATTATATACTGTATAGCACAGGGAAATACACACAAGATTTTTTTTTAAAGTGTGTCCATGAATGTCGGAAGCCATGATATGTGGCAGTTAAAAGTCATAGCCTATCTTAGCATGCATGCAAAGAACAGAGGCCAAGGTGCAAATCAGCCAGTGCTACTTAATAGCTGTGACTTTGGGCAAGTTACATAAAGTCTTGAACCTTCTTCCCATTGAAAATAAGAACAATAATTAGCACCTGACAGCTGACTGTGGCCATAAGGTCAACTTGAGCGCTGATTCAATGGCTCCTTCCTCTTACTACACGGTTCCAAACCACACAACATTTGTGTTTCTGTCATAATTCTCTTTAATTACTATTTTAATTCCGCTCCCCGCAGCTAGAGACCTTGATGCAGACATGGGCCCCAAGCCCACTATTTTTCTGCCTTCAATTGCTGAAATAAACCTCCATCGGGCTGGAACATATCTTTGTCTTCTGGAGGACTTTTTCCCTGGTGTTATTAAGGTTTCCTGGAAAGAAAAGAATGGCAACAGGATTCTGCAGTCCCAGCAGGGAGACACCGTGAAGACCAGCAACACGTACATGAAGCTGAGCTGGCTGACCGTGCCTGAAAAGTCAACGGATAAAGAACACGTGTGTGTCGTCAAACACGAGAAAAATAAAAAGGAATTGATCAACAGATTCTTTTTCCTTCAATTAATCAAGGTATGTATATAGAAATAGAAGCATTACCTCCCAGAACATTATTTTTTAAAGGGAATAGCCCCACCTTTTTTGTCAAGCGTCGATGAAAAACAAACAAATATAAATCTTTCTTAAGTATTGAGCTGTTTCCCCACAGAATTAAAATAGTGTAGGGTTTGAAACATAAGAAAGAAAAAGGAAAAAAATTACTCAACCTTTCTCACCTCGGTTTCATCTTCCAAAATATTAAGCTCACAGTGATGTATTTTAGGGTTGTTCTATGGTTTAAATGAAACAACATTCAATGAAACTTAGCACACAATATACAACTTAGCACACAATAAATACACAAAAAGAGACTCCCCTTTTAATGATCTTAGTTGATCAGGAGATAAGAATAATTATACACCTCTTATGATTGTTCCTCTCCATCAAGCAAAGGCATCTCACTTCAGTCTTACTTTACTCCAAGTATAACCCAGAAACAATGAGCATTGAATGACAAAATGGTGATCATCTGAGAGAAGCAGGCTGCAGTGCCACACAAGGTGGAATAATCCGACTACTGCACTTTTTTTATGGTCTTAGGTTTTTGAGATTTGTGTTTTGTATTTCACTGCAAGGTAAAATTTTGGAATTAAAGGTTGGGTGAGGTTACAGGGTACAGACATACTTCCATTCTACGTGACGAATATTTCTTGCCATTGGTAAGTGCCTCTCAGCAAAGTGTAATCACAGCCCTAGCGTGTGCCAAGCCTGGAGGGGATGTGTGGATGATACCCTCGGTGAAGAACCGTCCCAGGGAGGACGCACTACAATAATGAGACTATACCCTTTATATAAGCGCTCAGAAGTCCTGAATCACTTAAAGTCCTGCGTATGGACACAGCTGTCCAAACGGCCCGGAGTGCCCATAAGAAGGAATCAGTTTGTACTTTTCCCTGTGGTTAAAAAGCCCCTTCTAAGCAGCAGGAAGCAAGCGCCTAACAAAAGATGCGAGAATTCACTGTGCATCACTCCAAATTTCTGATCTAAGTCTTTACTTCTCGTCCAATAACCAAATTGGGTTCCAACACTTGCCTGCACTTTGTCCTAGGGCTCCGCGAAGAGCAGATGAAACAAAGTCAGTGAAAATGCTTGCTTTCAAAACATAACACAGATGTATTTATTCATATTTTCATTGTATTTTTTATGTCCTTTCAAAAAACTCTTTAAAAGCAAGACTACAAAATAACCCTAAATTTTCTGTTTCTACAGCTAAGAAAAAGAGGGAAGCAAATATGTAAAGTGTTGGTTTAATATAATCGTGGGCTTAACTGTCTTAGATTTTTTTTTTTAAAGTAGGTACCAGGGATTGAACCCAGGACCTCATGCTTGCTAAGCATTGCACTCTACCACTGAGCTATACCATTCCCACCAGATTTTAATTTTTCTAGTGATGAGTGAAGAATAAGAATTATAGTGAGTTTCATAGGGATGATTATCACAAAGGAGACGAGTTTGAGTTTATAATGTGTTCTACTTAGCACTAATTTTCTAAAATAAATGTTTCCCACGGACTATTCACAGCAACAAAGCTATCGTGGGCATTTCTGTTAATGTCATCCTACAGCAAATTTTTTTAAACTTTTTAATTAAAAAAATTTTTTTAAATTGAAGTACAGTTAGTTACAATGCATCAATTTCTGGTGTACAGCATAATATCCCAGTCGTGCATATACATACATATATTCATTTTCATATTCTTTTTCATTAAAGATTAATATAAGATATTGAATATAGTTCCCTGTGCTATACAGAAGAAATTTGTTTTTTTTAATCTGTTTTTTATATAGTGGCTAACATCTGCAAATCTCAAACTCCCAATTTTATCCACTGTCTCTTGGAAGTTTTGTTTCTGTTTACACTTTTATAGAAGCTAGGAAGGTAACATGGAAGGCCAAATCAGTGTTATGATTTTGAAGAGAGAGAAAACTAATCTGGGTCCAAGCTTTCCACCAGCCCTCATTGAGAAAGAGAACTTGGGATACCTCTGCGGAATTTATTATGAAAATGTATTGCTTTGTTGTTTCTACTTCAAGCCATGCATTTTAAAAAGAGATTTGTTTTTCTTTTAATGAATAAAGTCACTGTAAAGAAAACAAAGAGAATTTTAAGATACCTTAAAGTCAGTTCTTGAGGATATTTTAACATCCAAGCATGACTGCACTAACATTTTCATTCTTAAGGTTTACTCCAAAGCCTTTATATATCAAATCCACTTTTTTTTTTTAAAGAATATACTGAAAAAGAATCTACATACAACGGCCTACCAGAACCATGTTCATATGGGCAAGAACACATCCAGGAGAAAAAGGATAAACCAAAACAAACACTATAACTCCATTTTTCTCCATCCAACAGCCTATTTTCTTAAAAAAAATTTTTTTTTACTTATATGTATGCCTTTTTTGTTTTTTCTTTATTTGTAGACAAATACAATTCTCACCTCAGGTTTTACGTAATCTGAGAACCATACATATGATTTGGTGTATTTTTCTACCCTTGAAAAATTGCACTGAAATGCTGAGCTCCTGTAATATAACGGTCATTGCAAAGAATATTTAAGATATCTAGAAGAGAAGATGTTTTTAGTGTCCACAGTGGTGGAATTATGTTGTCTCTCTACATAACTTCTCTGCATTTCTATGACAGTTTTTACAAAGTGCTTTCCACGTGCTCTGTCTCATTTAATCCCCCAGGACGATCCTTTGAATGCTGGCTCTGCCATCACTGGTCTGACTCCCAGCAAATTACTTACCTTCTAATTCTTATTTCCTCCTTTGTAACACAAAGTCCTTCAAAATACAGCTCACTCTACTGTCACCAGGGGGTGAAACGAGATATTGTATGTGAAATATTGAAGCCAGAAACAATCACTCAATGCCTAATGTTGTTTTCATTAGTCCCACAAACACAACTGCAGAAAATAATGTACATGAGTTGGGGATACCGGGGACATGAATGATTTGGAAGTGCATGGCTGTTTATTTTTCCTGGTTGGGAAATCGCCTGAGCCAGACTCCTCCAGAAAGGAAATGTTGTTGTGGATTCTGGGATTGGACGAATTCGTTTGGGTAGCCACTCTTCAGCTCAGCGGTGCGCGCTGAAGACTGGAGAGCAGCTAATTTTCTGATTATTTGTCTTTTTGACAGTATTTCTCCAACACCTACTTTGTAGCCAGCCCTATCATAGGAGCTATAAATACAGAAGGAAAATAAGATGGTCTTGGATATTACCCGCCAGCTGTGATTAAAAAAAAAGAACAAAAATGTACCCTTCAGAACTTCGATATCTTCATGTGCAGAAAACAATATATGTATTAGATCTGCTAACTTTTATAGAATCAGACCAACTGTTCCTGAAATGGTAGGGCTCGTGTTTTGAATGACTGTCTCCCTGTCCATAGTCTATATACATATACATGTTACAATACGTACGTGTATAAATACATACACACGCTGTCAAATAACGGGCAGGAATAACTGACTAATGCTTCTTCTCATTTCTTGTAGTTGTCACTTTAGTTACCGCTACTCCAGAGCCAACAAATGATTGTTTGAAAGCTAAAAGCAGTAAGTTACTGTACATGTTTGCCTTCATACTTCGGTCTTTTTTATTCTCCTGATCAATTTACCTTTTGAAGTTTACCTGGCTTAAAGTACAAAGAACCAGTTATCTGGAATTCTAGGGCTCATCATTTGCATTCTTTTAATAATTCTTCTCCTGTCTCTCTGTCAGTAGACACACACCAGAAAATTACAGGCATGAGCCGCTGACAATATTTGCTCTCATTTCTTCTAGAGGGCACTGCTGTTGATTCTACAAAAGCTTGCCCAGAAGATGACAGTGGTAAGTTGTACTTTTACATATTTGCCTTCATTTCATCCTGCAGCCTTTTCGCCTCCTAATCAAGCTAGCTTTTGAGCTTCCTTGGTCCATAGTAGGAGAGACCAATTATTTCTGGAATCACAGGGCTCCTACATTTAATCAGTATCTCTCCTGTCTCTCTTGGCAGATTTTACAAATATATGTATGTCTATATGTATATATCACATTGTCAAATAATAGTTGTGAACAATTGACTAATACTTGCTCTCCTTTCTCCTAGAAGCTGCTGTTGTTAATTCTACAAAAGCCTGTCTGAAAGATGAAAACAGTAAGTTTTGTTCAGGTTTGCCTTTCTGTGAGGCTCCAGCGCTGTTTTCCTCTGGATAAACTTAACTTTTGACTCATGGTAGGAAAAACAGACTGGATTTGCAGAACAGACTGAGATTTTTCAGTCAATGTAGCATTTCCTGGGAGTCATCTGAACATGGTAAATGCTGGTTTGGGTATGAGATGACTGTAAATTAGAGGGTGCAGTGATAGGTTCCGAATTATTTCAAGAATGGACTCCATTCTTTAGTGTGGCCTTTGTTTCTAGTGACCGAGGAAACGTGATATCGCTTTGCTTCTAGACTTTTTTACTCCTTGGCCATTGCTAGTGGCTAACACGTGAACTGACAGAGAAAGCTTTTTGTTCAGAAGTTATTGTGCTCTATCTTGCATGCTCTATTTAATCCTCATCATACTCCGATGAAGTGGCACAGTATTTTCCCCCTACTTTACAAATGAGGGCAATGACATTAAAATTAATGATGTCCCTTGTACCATGTCACATAGCTAGATCTGGGGATCCAACCCAACCCATCTAAATCGATGGTTCATATCCTTACTCAGGTCTCTATTCCTCTTCTAAGATATAGACACAGAGCAAGAAATCCCAAAGCCAAGGCCCTGAGACAGGATGGACATGTGGGTGGGGGTGCAAGTGCACAGGCCTCTGATATCACAGACTGAACTTTAAATCCCGGTTCTTTTATTACCTAGTGATATGAAAATGAGTAAATCCCTTATGTATTCTGAGCAATACTGTCCTCACCTGCCAATAGGGAACAGTTACACCTCACTCAGTTACTGA